AGTGGGAGCGGGGAGGAAACATTTAGGAACTAGAGGAAGGTTGTATTTCTCATCATTGTTACATCAGTTTCTCACTCTTATAAGAAGGCCATCGCCCCCAAGGAGGGCGTCTTGAAGCTACTACTTGATTGACAGGGGGAACTCGGCCCCTAGCCAGGAGTCTCCGGTTGACATCATGCCTGACGACTCATTGATTATGAAAATTCATCTGAGCTGGTTACATAATTTCACGTCAGCTTGAGGATCTAAAAGTGAAGAGGTGGAGCTTAGCCTGTCAATCAGGTCGCAGCTTGATGACCTCCTTTGAGGTACCACTGAGATAAACGGGTCTCTGGAGACGGTCACTGTCTCTCTCTGCCTTCGCCTTCTTGCTGTTGAGTTACTTGGAGAGCTGCCGGAATCCACCCCGAGACGTGTGACGCTTCCACCCACTGCCATTGGATCCACAAGACGTTGCGCCCACCGGCCTGTGATCTTCCTGCAGCAATCTGCATCATTGCATGTGGTTGTATGAGTCTGAAGAGAGTACTGGACTTATGGACTAGATCTGGACTTGGCTGGGATGTTTGCTTGATTTATAATTTTTTAAGTCATTTTATTGGGGGTTCTTACAGCTCTTATAACAACCCATTCATCCACTGTGCCAAGCACACTTGTACTTATGTTGCCATCATCTTTTTCAAAACATTTTCTTTCTACTTGAGCCCTTGGTATCCGCTCCTCATCTTTTTCCTCCCTCCCCCACCCTCCACCCTCATGAACCCTTGATAAGTTATCATTACATCTTGATATAAAGCTTTCTTTTACCCGTATGACATAGATGAGTGTCTCTGGATTTGTTTCTCTAGTCAACCCGCCTAACCCATCATTTAACTGCGGGGATCTTAACAAACGGTGGATAACATCATCAAGAATGGGGACTGAGGTAGGCTTCGTGGTGCTCTTGGGGAGCCTGGGCATAGAGTGGGAAGCCGTCATTTGAGCAGAATGAGGCATGTGTCAGAGTGGTCTCCTCTGGCTCTGCTTATTTAACCCGCACTGTGAGTAGATCATCCTGGAAGCTGGACCATCTGAGGAACCGGCCAGCTGGTTTGGAGGACGGCTCATCAGCAACCTGCGGTACGCAGACAGCACGATGTTGCTGTGGAAAGCCAGGAGCACCAGGAGCACCGCGTGGTGCAGATGGGAGACTGCGGCTTCCTGCAGGAGTTGCGCCTCAGCATGAAGAAAACAAACACCCTCACGACTGCACCAGGAGGACGTGTGTGGACAGGGACCAGATGGAAGTTGCCCAGGGTCTCATGGTATCTGGGTCCACGACCAACGCCCACGGGAGCAGCAGTCACGACCTCAAACCACACATCACCTGGGCCGATCTACCGCACAAGGACCTCTTTGAGATGCTAAAGGGCAAAGCTGTCCCTTTCAGGTGTGCCCGCCTGACCCAAGGCGGGCTGTTGTAAATCGCTCTGTGCGCATGCGAAAGCTGGCCAGCGAATGAGGGCTACGGAGAGAAGGAATGAGGCTGCTGGAGTAGAACAAGGAAGAGGGGGACCGCTGAGAAACCAACCAAGGTCGTCTTGGAGGAAGCCCCGGCCAGAGGGTCCTTGGAAGCCAGGATGGGGAGACGTGGTCTCACGGGCTCCGGACGTGCGGTAGGAGACACCAGGCCCCGGGGAAGGACATCATGCTTGGTCAAGGAGAGGGGCAGCGAAAAAGAGGAAGGCAGGATGGGAAGGAATGTTCACAATGGTCCGTGGGCCCAAGTCTCACCCTGATTGTGAGGGGCGCAGGACCGACCGTGGGCCCAAGTCTCACCATGATTGTGAGGGGGCGCAGGACCGACCGTGGGCCCAAGTCTCACCATGATTGTGAGGGGCGCAGGACCGACCGTGGGCCCAAGTCTCACCATGATTGTGAGGGGGCGCAGGACCGACCATGGGCCCAAGTCTCACCATGAGTGTGAGGGGGCGCAGGACCCGGCGGGGTTTCTTTCTTGGGTCCGTCAGGTGGCTGCCAGTCTGAACTGAATCAAAGGCGCTTAACAACAGCCACAAAACCTCCTCCAGTTTCAAGGCCATTCGGGGTTTAAAAGGCATCTCAGTTTCTCATGTATTTTAGGACCAACAAAGTCTGTTTAAGTTTGAGAAGACTTTAAGAGTCTAATAGGGCCACGGTGGTGCCGTGGGGTGACACGTTGGGCTGTGATCCGCCTGGTCGGGAGTTCAAATCCACCGGCTACTCCGCAGGGGAAAGACTGGGCTTTCCACTCCCGTAAACAGCTAACAGTCTCAGACGCCCTCAGGGGCTGCTGTGAGTCAGCGTTGGTCCTATGACAGTGAGTTGTTCAGCGTCTACATGCTACTACTGAATTGCTTCCATTATAATCATTTCATCCCTTATTTTGCCATCTCTGAAATCTAGACACACTCACACACAGCACCACCCCCTTTTAAAACCACACCTTGGATCTTTGACCTGCATCATTATTTAGCTGGGAGGCATTTCCATCCTTTCTTGCCATACACGTTGGGGTACCGGTGGTATAGGGGTTACTTGTTAGGCTTTGATCTGCAAGGTCACTGGTACCAATCTCCCAGCTGTTCCCCAGGAGGAAGATGGGGGCTTACTATTCCCATAAAGAGTTACAGTCTTGGAGATGCACAGGGGCAGTTCTACCCTGTCCGGTCCTGGAGGGTCGCTATGAGTTAGCATCCACTCGACGGCGGTGCGTTTCTTTTTGTGTGTGTGTGTGTGTGTGTGTGGTACACAAAATACCATCACGTCTTGCAGCTGTTGGGGTCTTGGAGCCCACGAAGTGTAATATTCTGGTTTCTAGGTCATTTTAGGGCTCACAGAGCATTTCCCAATGTGCAAGATGCTTGGGGTTCACAGAGCACCTTCCTGCTCCCATGGGTCTTAGTGCTTATGAAGCATGTCCTGTCGCCCAAGGGCCTTAGGCTGACGGAGCATTTCCCAGGTGGGCAGGGGCTTGGTGGCAAGGAGTCTTCTCAGGATCCGCAAAGCACCTTAGGAGCTAGACCCACCCCACCCACCCAGGCGGCTTTTCAGTTCAAGAAAAAAGATGGAGTGGACCATGGACGACCAGAAGAACAAACAGTACAGCCAGAAGGGCCTTAGAAGCGAGGATGGCGAGACTTGGTCCCTCGTGCTTTGGACATGTTGTCAGGAGGGACTGGTCCCTGGAGGTGGACATCAGGCTTGATCAAGCAAGGGGGGCAGCGGAGGAGGAAGGGCCTGGAGGAGATGGATGGACACCGTGGATGCAGCGATGGGCCAACCGGGGCAGTGATATGAGGATGGATGAGACTTTCTTCCGTGGTAGACGGGGGTTTTTAAGCGTCGGGATGAACTTGACCCCTAACAGGGGCCACTGCCACCATGGCCCTTCTGTAGCTGTCTTTGTGTCAGCTTGCTCTGACACAGGGAGGTTTTGGACTGTCCCTGGAGGTGCAGGAGGCAGGATCAAGGCTGGCGCTCGGGAATGCCCGGGCTCGCCTGCTGTCAGGTCATGCCGCTCCCCTCCACGGTTCTTGGGATGGGAGGGGAAGTTCTGAACCTCAGACAGACTTCTGGAATTCCTGGCACCCTTCGTCCCAAGGCACGTCCCAGGCCTCGTGCCCAGCGTGATGGGGAACCATGCAGGCTGGGGGGCTCCCCGCCCTGCAGAGGAAGTTAGGGCCGTGCTGAGCTGTAGCGTTGCATCTGGCTGGGGCCCACTGCCACATCCTCCTTCTCCCTCTCACATGAGTCTGTCTCCAAGGCTGAAGCCCCCTGCCCCCTCCCCCACTGCCGTGCATAACCACCGGCAAAGGCGGGGCTTACAAGGACAGGTGTTCTGTTTCAGTGGTGGAGCTGGAAGTGTGAGGTCAAGGCGTATGTGGGACTGGCCTCAGTCCACAGGCTCCAGGGGCCAGTGTCCAGTGCCCACCGAGTAGCTTCTGGTGGTGGCGGAAGCTTACTGGTCTGAGCAGCATTGTCCAGATCCCTGCCGCCTTCTTTACAAAGCCACCTACTCTCTGGGTCTCTTGCGCCTGGATTGAGGCCGCCCTGGGTCATCTAGCAAGGAGCCCTGGCGGTGTAGCTGGTGACATGTTGGGCTGCTGAACCACAAGGCCGTGGTTCGAGTCCACCAGGTACTCCTTGGTAGAAAGATGAGGCTTTCCGCTCCCGTGGAGACGCACAGCCTCGTGAACCCCCAGGGGCAGATCTACTCTACCCTCGAGGGACTCTGTGCGGCAGCAGTGAGTTTGAGCTGTGGGGCCATGCGGTCTCCAAGCCCTACACTCAGTCTCCTTGGCAGTGACCCCTACCCCTTGCCAAGCAGGGCCACAGTCTCAGGCTTGGGGGTGGGGGTGGGGGGCATGGGCGTGTCTTTTGGGGCCACCACGCAGCCCACAGGCAGCTGCTTCCCGGAGCTGTGGGATTTGGAGGTTGTCAGCAGGGCTCAGGGTCCTCCCCTGGCTGTGGCAAAGGGGGTACCTGCCAAGCGTGGCTGGGCGGGGCCAGGCGGGGCTGGGAGGGGCCGAGCTGTGCTGACGCTGTCACCCTGTGCAGGTGCGGACCAAGGACGTGCTGTTTGACAGCATCAGCCACCTGATCGACTACCACCTGCAGAACGGGCGGCCCATCGTGGCTGCCGAGAGCGAGCTGCACCTGCGGGGCGTGGTCAAGCGGGAGCCCTGAGCCGGCGGCGTCGCCAGGTGCGTAGCGGGGCCCCGCCCACCGGCTGCGCGTGTCACGTGGGCCGGCCCCGCGCCCGACTGCAAGGAGGTCAGCCGTTCAAAGCCACCAGCCGCTCCGTGGGAGAAAGAGGAAGCCTTCTGCTTCCCGAAAGTGTGACAGGCTCAGAAACGCCCAGGGGCACTTCGTCCCTGTCCTCTAGGGTCGCTGTGGCCAGCACGGTCTCCGTGGTGGGGGACATCGCGCTCGGTACAGTCGAGGGGCAGAGAGGAGGAACTGGCTGCAGCCACGGGCTCAGGCGCAGCAACGATTGTGAGGCTGGGGCTGCGTTCCGTTCCGTGGTCCAGCGGGTCGCCGTGGGTCGGGGCCGAATGGACAGCACCTGGTATCTTATCTGCAGCAGCAGCAGCAACAACAATGCAAGCTTTTGAAACCAGCCCCTCCCTCTGGTTTCAGAAGATCCCATTTCCTTGGAAGGAGACACCCCCCCCCATCAGCTGTCACGCCCCACTCCCCTCCCCCATTAGCCTGCGCCGCCTGTGGATGTATCTGTCCTGCACACGTCCCATGAAAGGGGCCGTCCAGTCTGTGACAGGCCACACAGGATTTAAGGGGCCCTGGTGATGTAGTGCTTACTCGCTGGGCTTCAATCGGGGAGGCTTGTTGTTGATGTTGTTCCCACCCCGGGCACAGCAGAAGGAAACAGCCTAGTCCCGGGCCCTCCTCCCAGCTGTTCCTGCACCTGAGCCCATGGATGCGGCCACTGTGTCCTCCGTCTCGTCCACGGCCTTCCTCTTTTCCCTGCCCCTCCACTGTGCCAAACATGATGTCCTTCCCCGGGGACTGGTCTCTCCTGACAACATGTCCGAAGTATGTAAGATGAAGCCTGGCCATCCTTGCCTCTAAGGAGCACTCCGGCCCTATTTCTTCTGATACAGACCTGTTTGTCCTCTGAGGAGCACTCCGGCCCTATTTCTTCTGATACAGACCTGTTTGTCCTTTGAGCAGTTCCTGGTACTTTCAGTATTCTTCTCCAGCATCGCAGTTCAAATGCATTGCTTCGCCTACGGTCTTCCTTATGCAACATCCCGCTGTCACCTGTGCAGGAGGCCATGGAGACTACCGAATACCATGGCTTGGGTCAGGCGCACCTCAGTCCTCCAAGTGGCATCCTTGCCTCCCACCTCCCATCCTCATGACCCCTTAATAAATGATAAATGATGATTATTTTCATATCTTACACCAACTGCTATCTCCCTTCCCCCATGGTTTCTGTTGTTCATCCCCCTGGAGGGGTGTGTGTGTGGTTGTGTCGATCATTGTGATCGGTTCCCCCTTCTTCCCCTCCTCTCCCCGCCTTCCTCCTACCCTGCTGGTGTTGTCATTCCGATTCCTGTTCCTGGTTTCCGTGTGCCCTGAGCGCTTATCTCTTATCTGTTCCTGTGTACGTGCTCCGTCTAGTTCGAAGTGAGAGGCAGCATCGGGGTCAGGACAGTGGGGGGTGAGGAAGCCTCAAGGAACCAGAGAAATATTGTGTGTTTCATCGGTGCTTTGCTGCACCCTGGTCGACTCATCCTTTCTCTGTCCAAGACAAAATCTTTGACAACTTCAACCTTTTCTTTATTTACCATGATGTTACCTGTTGGTCCAGTTGTGAGGATTTGGGTCTTATTTACATTGAGCTGTCATCCGTACTGAAGACTACAATCCTTGATTTCCATCACCAAGTGCTTCAATTCTTCCTCACTTTCAGCAAGCAAGGCTGGGTCACCTACACACCTCAGGCTGTTAACAAGCCTTCCTCCACCCCTGATGCCACGCTTTTCTTCACAGAATCCAGCTTCTCTGACGATCTGCTCAGCACACAGATTGAACAAATATGGTGAAGCATACAAGCCTGCCGCACACCTTTCCTGATTGTAAATCAAGCAGTGTGTCCTGATTCTGTTTGCACAACTGCCTCTTGATCCACGTACTCGTTCCTAATGAGCACAATGAAGTGTTCTGGAATTCCCATTCTTTTCAAGGTGATCCACACTTTATTATTGCCCACACAGTCGAATGCCTTGCATAGTCAAGGAAACACAAGTCAACATCTTTCTGGTGTTCTCTGCTTTGAGCCAAGATCCATCTGGCATCAGCAATGATATCTCTTGTTCCACGTCCTCTTCTGAATCCCGCCTGAGCTTCTGGCAGCTCCCTGTCAATGTCCTGCTGCGACCATTGTTGGACGATCTTCAGCAAAAGTTTGATTGTGTGCGCTACCAATGATATCATTCTGTAGTGTGAGCATTCTGTTGGGTCACCTTTCTTTGGAATGGGCACAACTATGGATCTCTTCCTGTCAGTGGGCCAAGTATCTACTTTCCAAATTTCCTGGCGTAGTCGAGTGAGGGCTCCCAGTGCTTCCCGAGCTTGCTGAGACATCCTGGAGCCGTGCTCCGGGCTGAGGCTTTCAGCGCAGCTTGGACTTCTTCCCTCAGCACCATGGTTCCTGCTCCTATGCCACCTCCTGAGACGGTGGCGCATCGACTGGTTCTTTCTGGTGCAGTGACTCTGTGTATTCTTTCCGTCTTCTCTTGATGCCTCCTGCGTTGGGCAACATGTTGTCTATGGAATCTCCCCAGATTGTAACTCGAGGCTTGGCGCTCTTTCAGTTTCAGATATGTGGAGTGTGCCCTCCCCCGTGGGTTGTCTCATGCCAGGTCCTTGCACATGTCCTTATAATATTTGGCTCTGCCTTCTCCCGCTGCCCTTTGAGGTTTTCTATCCAGCTCCTTGACGCCATCCTTTCCTCCACATGCGTGAGCTTCTCCGAGATGAGCAGCAAGTGGGAGAGTCTCTTCTGACATCCACGCTGATCTTTCGATCCGCAAGGCTGGCAGTTAAAGCTACCAGATGCTTCGTGGGAGAAGGATGAAGCTTTCTACTCCCGTGAAGAGTGACAGTCTCAGAAACCCACCGGGGGCCGTCCCACCCTGTCCTATAGGGTTTCTAGGAGTCGGCGCCCGCTTGGTGGCAGTGAGTTTGGTTTGGTTGTGTGGTGCAGTGGGCTAAGCATTGGGCTGCTCCACGGAAGGTTGGCAGTTCAAGCCCACCAGCCACTCTGAGGGAGAAAGATGTGGCAGGATGTTTCCGTCCTGATGCACAGCCTCGGGGATGGGAGTTGGGGGAACGGGGTGTGGTCGTGTCTGGCTTCACTGTCTGGGTGACATGTTGTAAAGATCCATGGGGGGAGGGATGGCGGTGGATAACAGAGGGGCTGATACCAAGGGCTCAAATAGAAAGTAAATGTTTAGAAAATAATGATGGCAACATACGTACAAATGTGCTTGACAGCATTCGTTGATGTATGATATAAAAGCTGTAAGAGCCCCCAATGAAATGATCCTAAGAAAAAGAAGATCCCCCCAATTGCAGCACAGATGAGCATGCTGACTGACCAGATGGCCCACCCTGTCTGTCTGTCCACCTGCTGACCGGCACGTGGACGTTTCTTCCCCCTGGCTCCTGGGGACAGGGCCGCTGGGAGTCGGCACAGACTAGCTGTGTGAACGTGCATTCCAATTTGGGGGGCGCGGCACAGATCCCGGGAGGCACTGTGGGGGTGCATGCCCTGGTGGCGCTGCCCACTGAGCATGAACCGCATGGTCAGCCAGCTGCACTGCTGGAGGGGGAAGCGTGAGGCTGTCTGCTCCGCAGAAGCCCTACACCACGTGGCTATGAGTCAGAATCAACTCACCACCATGAACGTGGTTGTTGGTTTTGTTTTTTTCTGGTCTTGGGCTGCTAACCTCAAGGTCAGCGGTTCAAGGGCATCAGCTGCCCTGCAGGAGAAAGATGGGACTTTCTACTCCGGTAAACAGTCAGTCCTGGGAGCTCACAGGGGCAGTTCTACCCTGTCCTGGTGGGGGGGGTGTCATTGTGAGCTGGCGTTGACTCGATGGTGTCAAGTATGGTTTTCGGTTTGGTAACTGTGTTAAGCTCACCGTGAAGCCTGGAATCGGGGGGGCTCCTGCTGGGCGCCCTTGCCTCCTTGTAGAAGCATCTGCCCATCCTGGAGGAGTCCTGGCACTGTGGCTGGCAGGGTGGAGGCAGTGGGATGCGCACGATGGGGGGAGCAGGGGTCCCGGGCCAGCTGGGGCTGAGGTGGCTTCAGGTGGTCAGGACCGGAAGCCGAGGATGGGGAGCCACAGGCAGGTCTGAGGGGTGCTGCAGTCTGTCTATGGGAGACCAGAGAGGCAGCGGGGCATCCAGGAAGGGGAGCAGGTGGGGGTACGGGGAGGAAGGGCCCACAGGGATCATGGAGGTCAGACCTGGGCGAGGGAGGGGTTATGGCTTTTCCTTGAAACTGCTCTCCTGTCTCCATGACAACGGTTCAGCCTGCACTTTCTGGGCGATCCTCTCTTCACCCTGGGGCTGCCTGGGCCTGGGGCTGCTGGCAGAGTGGTCCTCTGAGCCTGGGGGTCAGCTTTAGGGATGGGCAGTTCCTCTGAGCGCCCGCATCACCCAGGGCCTGCGCTTTCTTCACGTGCCAGAAGTTCCCAGGTCTGTCTGCCCCGGAAAGTGTTTGTGGACGGACACAGCGCACGGGTGGCGGGGACCGTGGCAGCACCCCCACCCCCACCCTATGGGCCCCAGGGACTGTGCAGTCGCTGTTGTCAGCATCCCGAGGTTAGCCTAGAAGACAGCTAAGTGAGGTTGTGGTGTCATCTGGGGCCGCCCAGCAGGGTCCTTCAGACTGTGCAGCTGGAGCCTGAGCTGGGGGGTGGGGGGGACGGGGACCCTTTGGTTGTGCCAAGGCAGAAGTCTAGGGGCAGATGGAGCTCATGGGGAATCTAAACCTTGGGCCCAGGTGGTTCTGGGACGGGGTGGCTGTCTCGGTCGGTCAACTCCTGACCTCTGCTTCCCTCTCTTCTCAGGTCGGGGGTCTCACGGTGCCTGCCCTGTTCCCAGAGCTCCCGTGGCCTTACGAGTGCTCTGCCTCTTGGACCAGGCCGGGCGGGAACCGCTGCGGTCTCTCCCTCTTTCCGCATGAGCATCTGGAATCGCCCACCACGGCTGGCCCTTGGGGACGGGGCGGGGCCAGCTGGCCTCCACCCTTCACCTGAAGGAGGCTGCATATACCAAAGACAGAACCTCTTCTCGCCTTTAAGCACCGATTGAAAGTGGCCCTTGGGTGCCAGATCCGTCCGAGGCCCCTTGTGGGGCTGGGATGCCCCGTGTCTCCTTCTCCAGGGATGCATTCTATTTCTTGCCTGAGAAATTGAGGGGACCCCATGGCTTCCTCCCTGGCTGCCTCAGTTTCTCCTCCTGACAAATTGGGTACACAGTTGCTTTGGGGGGTGGGGAGAATTAAGGTGCTTTGGGGTTCTCAGGCCTGATACACGCTGATGTTGCAGCTGGGGCCACCTTGTGGTTCCCCTAGGACAATGGGGTGGGGTGCACCCTGACTGTTGGTGGGAGCCCACAGTGTGGCCCTGCCAGCTGGACAAGCTAGAAGAGGATGTGGCTGCCAGCTAGCTTGCCCACCAACTTCTTCATCCTTCCAGCTGCTGCACCCCCATGGACAATTGAAGGCAGGTTGGAATTAAACCTGGGATTGACCACAAGGAGCCAAGCTGTCGGGGGCACATCAGGGGCTCACCCAAAGGGTGGCGGGCGGAGCACCCAGGTGGGAGTTGAGGAGAAAGCTTGAGGATGAAGCACGGCCCCCACGTCTGGCCTCCTGGGACCCGGAGAAGGTAGAAGAGGGCCGAGTCAGAGGAGAGAGCTGGATCTGGGGGTGCCCTTGGTGTGGGCGTAGGGGACGGTACGATGACACATCTGACAGCCCCTGATTTTTTACCCCGATAGAAAGCACATTCCGACGTCCTTATCAAATGTACCCTTCCCTTCTCCTTGAAAGCACCCCGATCCATCGCCCAATGCTCCAGCGCCCTCTTTCACAGGTGCCCTAAATACCAGCCTCTCCGCACGTCTCCTCTCAACACGACTTGACTTCCTAGTCCTTTGTGCTCTTCAGACGTTGCTAGTCCTCTAGGACCGCCCCCCCACCCCCCCAGCCCCAGCCCTCCTCTTCTGTCTGGTCCCCCGGGCCTGGCTAACTCCTGCCACAGGCATGGTGGCATCTCCCTCCAGGAGGGTCCCTGCCGGGCTCACACACATCTCACAGAGAGGGCAGAGGCTTCTCAGGGTCTGCATCTCTGGGTAGGGGGATGCCACCCATCCAGTTGGCAGGCCCCATCCTGCAGGTTGGGGTGCCTGTCCTAGGGCTGTGGGAAGTGAGAGCCCCTCTGGTCTGCTCTCAATGAGGCAGAACTAGGAGGGGATGCGGGTGTCCTCAATGTCAGAGACCTGGAGGCTGAGAGCCATTCATGCACCATCCACCCAACATCCACTCATCATTTCACCTACCAATCCACCCACACCTCCACCCAGTTCACCTGCTTTCTCACCTATCAAGCCATCCATCACCCTAACAATCCATCCAGCTAGCAACCCACCTATCAGTCTAACAACCACCCATGACTCCCTCATTGGTCCTTCCCTCCATTCCTGCACCCACCCACCCATTCCTCCACGATTTCATCCATCAATCGGACAAACACATGCCCTTCTTCCAGCCACCTGTCCACTGACCCACCACCATTCCAGTGATCGCTCCAACAACCATCCACTCACTCACTCAGTGGTCCAGTCACCCAATTAGCCATCACTCCACCTGTCAAACAGCCACACCCTCTCCATCCAGCCTTCATTAGGTTCATTCACCCGCCCATCCGTCCCTCCATCCCTCTGTTCACCCCGACTTTCTCCATTCCGTCGTCTCCCAACCTAACAACCCCCCACCCGTCTTTTCTTCTGTGTATCGACTCGCTCACCTGTCCTCCCTCCATCTTTCTATCCATCCACTCGACCACGCGTCTTAAGCCTGTGGGACCCTCTTGTCTCCAGGGCCTCTTGCAGGAGCCGGGAGGCAACCAAGACCTCCCTGCCCTCCTGCAGTGCGTTGTCCAGAGACACTACTCAGTGGGCCCCACCGTCAGGTGTGGGAAGGGGACCCCTGATGCTTAGAACGACCAGGAGTCCTGGAGGGCTCCTCTGTAGGGATGACGGGGGGCTGGGAGTGAGGGTGCAGCCCCAGGGGGAGAGGGCAGCAGCCTGGTACCCCAAGAGGCACATGCAAAGGCCCCGTCGTGTGTGGAGGGTAGGGTGCTCAGGTGCAGAGAGCGCTGGTGTGGCTCGATGTGAGGCCGGAGGGTGGGGCGGGGGCAGAGCACACCGCTGGGCCAGGCTCCCCGACAGAGCTGCTGGGGGCTTGAGGATGGCATGGAGGGAAGCTCAGATTCTAGGGAGCCGAGTCTGAACTCCATTCATTCATTCATTCACCTGCTCACCCAGCATCCTCTGTCCTCCAGGCCCAGCCACCCCCACTGTGGCGTGGCTGAACTCTGCAGGAATTTGGGATCCTCGATCTCCCCACTCTGCAGACAAGCATAAGGCGACCCAGTGAGACTGTCCCAGGCCAAGGCCACCCAGAGCCGGAATTCAAGCCTCAACTTGCTCCGGGCCTCTCCCTGAGTCAGGGGCGACTCTGGTGCCCCCGTAAGATGTGGGCTGGGAGCTGCAGCCCCATTCTGCCAGCCAGCCAGGGCCCAACCATTCCTCCTGGTCTTCAGGGAGGCTGGGGAGGGGGCGGGAGAGACCTGGCTCAGACCTGGAGAAGGCCCCCTGCCCTCTGCAGGTGCAGTGGTGGAGGAGCAGACAAAAGGACATTCAAGTCCCCACCCTGTGAGTCAGTCGTACAGCTGCGGGAGGGATCTGGCTCCTCTCTCATGCCTCCGTTTTCCTGTCTGGAGACAGGGGTGACAGTCTCATGGGGTTCCCTGGGGTGCACTGGGCCTGGCTTTTCTCCTCACCCCCACCCCGACTGTTTTCCTGTGGGCTGTTTATTGCTGCTGGGCCTGGGGCTGTGCTCACAGCCTTTGTGGCTTCAGTCCCCCTCCCCAAATTCTTCCACCGTGTGCCTCCGTTTCCCCTCCTGATGAGGCTGTCTGCTCCTGTAAAAAATTACAGCCGCAAAAACCCTGCATAGGGTGGCCGTGCGTCTGAATCAGCCCGAGGGCATGGGGGGCCGGGAGACCCCTCCCTGGGACTGATTCTTGGCTTGCATGACTGGGACTGAGGACCAGCAGGCCGGCGGAGTGGCCCGGCCAAGGACTGAGTCAGTCTGTGCTCTGTGCCCGAACTGGTGCCTGCAGCTACAGCCTGGGCGGCAGGCTTGGAGGCAAAGGCTAGGTTACCAGGGGATGCTCACAGCCTGCCACCCTGTCCCACCTTCCTCTCCCGGCCTCAGTTTCCCCAGGCTCTGGAGTGCCTCCCCGCTCTGAGCCCGTGTCCCTCAGTGAGACAGCGAACCCTGACACCCAATGCATTCTCTCGAGCGCACACCGGGGTGCTTTGTAGATCTTAATCCTCACCTTGGCCCTGCGAGAGGGGACCCAGACCTAGAGAGGCGCCAACACTGGCCCGAAGCCACACAGCCAGGGTGCGTGGCCCCAAAGGGTCCGCCCGCCAGATGGAGGTTCTGAATTGTCTGCCTCCTTCTAACCCACGGATGGGGGCAGAGCCCCCATACCCAAGCCTCACCCCTCCCCAGGAGGTGGGGGACTGCCCTCTACCAGCCTCTAGCCCACCCCCCCAGGAAATGGGGGCAGGCATCCCACCTTGGCCTGAGCCACGCCTGCTGGGGGCGAGGGCACTGTTCAGGGCGTTCCCTGACCCATCTGTCCAGCAGGGACTTCTGGAAGGGTCCCTGTGTCAGGCTTGGACTTTGGGGACCTGCAGGGACAAGGTGGTAGTGGTCTTCTCCTGGCCCAGACCTGGTAGAGACAAAGGACATCAACCAAGTTACTGCACTAGGACTTTTTTTTTTCTTCTTAATTGTGTTTTGGGTCAAAGTTGATACCACGGCCACGTTTCCCGGGACAGTGGTGCCTGGGGATCCGTGTGCTACATTGTATCGACAGCCTCCATCCTTGGTTCTCCTGGTTCCCATTTCCGGTGGCCCCCTTCCGGAACCCCTCATCTTCTCCTCTTTGCTTTGGAATAAAGGTTGACTTTTTTCGACTCAGACCGGACGGATGTTTACTTTGAAATGCAGCACCCACTGCATGGGTCATCCTGTATCCCGCATTTCGTGGATCACACTGCTGTTGCGTTTAGGGTGATCTCAGGGGGCATGTTGTGGTTCAGGGTTGAAAGGGTGTCTGGGGGGCGGGTAGACTGGGGAGGTCCCTGGTCTTGGCTGTCCGCTGGCTCTGGCCCCCCCACCTGCTTTTAGGATGTGAGTTTTGTTCTGCATTGTTCTTCTGTTCTATCTGGGATCCGGCGGGCCTGGCAGCAGGGCCCCATCTGCTTCTTCCGGCCTCAGGTAGAGGCCTTGGCTCTTGAAGACCTCCGGCTGGATTGATTGTGCTGGTTTCTTCTCTGTGACTTGGTTTCCTTCTCACGCTCCGGTGCCTGAAGAGGGGAGACCAAGAGTTGGACTTTAGGTGGGTGCTCATGGGCGTTTAAATCCCGGGGGGCCTCTCACTTCCCTGGGGTGCAGAAGGCCAGCTTTCCGAGCTGTGTCATGCCGATGTACCCGGCTATTCCCTACGCCTTTCATCCTAGAAAACGGATATGGAACGGCGTTCGGTGATGTCTGAGCGGTATCTGTTACCGCGTCCTTTATAAATATAGGTGCCTGCACCCACATGTCTGTCCTCACACACACATGGAGGCTTTCTTCTGTGGACGCCCATGTCTGCTCGCACCCCGACAGACCTGCAGCCACGGGACCGCATTCTTGTCTCGTGACCACTGCCGGTGTGGTCACCAACAGCTTTCTTAGCACAAGTATCCCTCTCCTTCGAGGGCTTCTCAGTGCCTGGTCTACTCTGCTCACCCTGTCCCCGCGACACCCTTGCTCGCTGACTCTCCCCATCCCCAAAGGCAGCAAGTGTTTATGACGGGGATGTGCACCCCTGCGCCCCCCACCTGTGCTTCCGTGTCTAGTCTTACCTTCCTATAAAAGAGGGGGTCACTCCCGTTTGTCCTTGTGTGCTGGTCTTATTTCACGCAGCGTCCAGCCCTCTTTGTGTTAGAGGAGCATGCTTCTCAGACGCGTCATTGTCCTCCGTGGTGGTCCCTGACCCTAAGGCGTCCACATATGTCTGTGTCACCCATCTGCTAATCCATCCACCCACACCGATGGGCCCTTCCCTGCCCCCGCCCCCCACTGCTTTCCTTGTCATGAATAAAGCAAGGTGACTGCAGGACTGCACCTGTGTCACTTCTCTTAGCTCCCCGGGCGTGCCCCTAGAGTGGGGTTGCTGGCTCCCAGGCCTTTGGCACCACGGCATCCCCAGGGTGGGTGGGAATTGGGACCCGGTTCTGTTGTTGTCATGGTTGTGATGGTGTGTTTTGATGTGTGAGACGGCCTCTCCTTGTAACCGTGGTTTCTCCTCACTCTCCGAACGGTGGCAAGCCCCTCTCCACCCACCGTGTGCTTGCCTCAGTGGGACGTTTGTCAGGCCCTTGACCCGTTTTATAATGGTATCGTCCACCAGTTGGTGGATTGTTGTCTTTTGCTAATGATTTGGGGACTAGATCCTTAACCTAAGAAGACGTCATTTCCAAAGGGCTTGCCCTCCCTTTCACATAACCGATAGTCAGAAACGACTCAAGGACAGGATTGAGTTACTCTTTTGATAATGTCTTCAGGAGCCCTGTAGGCGCTGCATCATCAACCACGAGGTCAGCAGCTCGAATCCACCAACCCCCCTGCAGGAGAAAGAGGAGGCTGTCTGCTCCCACAAAGAGTTACTGCCTTAGAAACCCCAGGAAGCTGTTCTCCTCTGTCCTGTAGGGTTGCTTTGACTTGGGATCAGTTTGATGACCGGGGCGGGGTGTGGCTGTACACACAATTTAAAATGTTATAAGGTCCCATTTATCCGTCATGCCTCCTTCTATTTGTGTATTGGTTAGAATATGCCCCTTTTTTTGCTGTTGTTGTAATGTACTTGATCTTTTATTTTTTAATGAAAGATGATGTCTTTTGGTTTTCCCCTTAAGTTTTCTTCCCTGGCTTGTATAGTATTATTATTATTATTTTGAAAAACAGCTTCACGGGCATCTACTTCCCACATCATACAGTTTAATCATTCACGCATCTTAAGAAGACTTGGGTGGTCATCACCGCAGTCCATTTCAGAATTTTTTCTTCTCATTCCTTTTAACTCCCCATCTCCTCTCCCCCACCCCCGCCACGCCTTTAGGCCAGGGGCCAGCACACTTTTGAGAAGGGAGAGCCCATCCTATCCCATCGTCTCCCACTTTAAAAATGATTCGAGAACGTAAGTACATTTTTACAAACAAGTTACATCACCATTATCTGAACAACAGCCTTTAAAATATTTCCAGTTTTACTTAAGAGTCATAGGAACATACCCAAAATGCCCCCCACCCAAAATGCCCCCCACCCCACCAAGGCCCTGGAGCCACGGTTTGCCGGCTGGAATCTAGGGAATTAACGGCCCGGCTCTGCCGTCCTTGTGGGCATGGTTGTTGTGCGCTCCTGAGGCTTTCAGTAGCTTTAACATTTTAGGCCTTTGACCCATTGGGAGTGAGTATCTTGTGTATGGTCGCTACCCGTTGGGACTGACTGCACAGCAGTGAGTTTGAGGTTTTGGGTTGGGTGTAGGGTGTGAGGCACGGGTCCAGTTTCACAGAGATGTGTTCTGGTACTGGGGAGCCTTTCTAGAACCTCCCTCCCAGAAACGCAGCAGCGGATGACACCTGGCTGATCCCGGCAATCAGGGCAGGCTTCCCAGAGGCGGCTGCTGCCTGCCAGTCTCCCCCATCAGACAGTGAGACTGCACCTGGTTGCTTGGGGACAAAGTGGGGCTGGCTCATGTTGGGGTAGGGGTAGGGGTGTGGGGGAAGCAGACAAGGGCCTCCTGGAGGAATCTCGGCCCTCAGGAGCCTGTTTCCCCATCTGGACTTTGGGACTCTAAACCCTCCCTCCCTCCAGTGGGTGGAACCTGGGAGGTTGGCTGAGAGGCGGGGACATTCCAGGAAGACAGAGGCTGGTGGTCTGGCGTGACAGGCATGTGCCTGCCCTGGTCAGGTGTCGTAGCTCCTTGAATGGGCACCCGATGCAGGACTGGCCAGCCTGGAGGGAAACCGAGGCTGGTAGGGGGTCTTTCAGGTGGGGGAACCTGGCTTGGCTGTTCCCTGGGACCCCTCCTGTGAAGAGACAAGA